CAAAACACATGTGAAGGACATACAAAACAAATGATAGAGATGAAGCACACACAAAACACATGTGAAACACATGACACACAAGAAACACATATAAAATACATACAAAACACATGAAACGCATAAAACATAAACCTACACACATGAAATTGAAACCTTCAATCATCCTCTATATAAACACAGGTTGAATATCAATTGATCACACAGTCTTTCAACCTTCAATAATCCTCTATATGCACCAATCTTTCAACTTTCAAAGTGTTTTTATTTCCTAAAAATCCTCAATATCTCACCAATGGGTCATAGAAGAAGGCGTAGCAGAACAATGCAGATGGCACAATACCAAGCAAGCCTTGACATTGAGGATACATAAATGATCAATGTAGAAGCTAAACTTGCAAACTCGATTATGCAATATGAGCATGTTGAATCTAGCTATCGTGGTTTTGTCAAGGGGCGTTCATTTGTGCAGCGTGAAAAAGAAGAGTGTCATAACCGAATGATGAAAGATTATTTCATCAAGCGTTCGAGATTTCCTGCTCATGATTTTTGGAGGCGGTTTCAGATATGGATGATGACCAACCAACACATGCGAGAGCTATGGCAAGAGATGTTGAATATCTCGCTGCAACCACATATGAGACCCGACAGGATAGGGTCACATTGAGTGAGTATATGAGATGTTTAAATAGAATTCAAACTCCTCAAGGTCATGACACACTCCGCAAGGATTTGGTTGAGCATGTATGGCGCTGAGAAGGTGAAAGTTGATGATGTTGGTGTATTAATGTGTTCTTGTGTTAAATTGAAGTGTGATATGTTGTTATTTTATGTAATAATTTTAAGTGCACTATTTTGGTATTTTCTGGTAATAAATTTAAGTGTATTCTTGTGCAAAGTCTTTTGTCTAGTACGTTGGAAAAGTTATTGAATGGAGGTTAAATTATTGAAGGCATGTATTCTACATCAAAGTGTGAAATAATAAGTACAATAATTATTGAAGGCATCTAGATTAATAGAAACAATAATTAATAAGTCATAAGTTTAATACACACGACAATTAATTAAGTACATAAACTTAATACAAACGACAATTAATAAACCACATAAACTTAATACAATCAATAATTCATACACTACATAAACTTAATAATGATATCCACCATCTTGACTTGGTGGTGGACTTCGTGGTGGACTTGGGATATAGGGTTGAGATGATTCATCATATTCAAATATACTCCTTGTACTTTCGCAAAATTTCCTTTTGCCTACCAAGTAAGAACCTTCTTTCTCTCTAGAGTGTATTTGTTGAGGTCCTCCATCATGAAATTAATTTCAAACCTATCTTGCTCCCCATCCCCTTCTTCCTTCATTTGCAAACGCATTCGAGCCGCTTCTTCTTGATGCGCTATGGATTTCGCTCAATTTTGCAATTCCGATAGCAATGTGTCCACTCATCAGATCTTGGGACTTCCCTTTTCTCTTTACTTCCTTTTGCTTATCTCTTCCCAGGGGCCTTGCAAAAGAAGGAGTTGGGATCATTTCATCCACACCTTCATTGACACCTTCATCTCCGACATTTGTCGATGCGGCTTCACGTTGAAATAATCTTCCCCATTGTTGGTTCTCATCGGTTCCCCACCTCAAACAATCCTTGAGGATGTCTGAAGCATGTTGCAACTTAAAAACTTGATTTTTTGGTGTTACTCTTGTCTTGTAAATTTCTATTGCTTTGTCACCCTATGCAAAAAACACATAAAAATAATTAGTTGCAAAATAATATTATGTACATGACAAATAAAATATCAACAAAAAAACTCACAATTTCTGCGGCACTCCTTCCAATAACCATGTCAACCACGGCTCTCTCCAAGCTTCCCTTCCATAAAGTGCATGTTTTGTTGATAGTCTTCCACCGATCGTAATCAGCACCACCGTCCTTCCCGCCGCCGTTGCAGTTTTCATGAAACTTTTCAATGATTTTATCCCACTAAACCTTTTTATTTTGATTTGTGTCAACTGCACCATCTTCGCTAACAGAAACTCATGCCAAGCATCCAATTATGATCTCTAATATGCTCTCTTTCCATGCTGAACAATTTGGAAATGGAAAGAAATGGTAGAAAGAAAAATTGGAAGAATTGTAGGAGAAAATTGAGTTTTGTGTGGATGTTTGAACAAATACATAGGTATTTATAGAGTTTTTGGGTGAATTTTGAGTGAAATAAATTTTTTTAATTATTTTAGCCTTTGGATTTAAATTTGGGCCGTTAGATCTTTTTTTTTTTTTACCATTAGATTTGATTATATTTGATTTCAATCGTTGCATTCAATGCATTTTAAAATCACATTTTTTTTTTAAAACAAAATTTGAATCTAAACCGTTGGATCAACTAACAGTCCAAAAAGCCCAGCCGTCGGATGATAAAAAGAGCCGTTGGGCTCATGATGGAGGCCCTGACAGTGGGTCCGACCTTATCGGGTGCTAAAGGCATCAACCTGTGTGGGGCGAGTTGGGCGCATGATCAGGCCAAGAGTGAGCTCTCTTTGGGCGAGTCCACGCGTTTCTGGGCTATTTCTTAGGGGGTATTTGGCCTTGGTTTGGCTAGAGGTGGGCATAAAAACCGGCAAATCGCAAAACCGCATCGAACCGTTTGAAAAAAAAAAAATATATATATATATATATATATATTGTGTTGACCGGAAAAGTCAACTTTGAGTCAAAAACCAAACCGAACCATTTTATTCATAAATAAACTAATTATATATATACACACATGTCATGGTATAATAGGTTGACATATTAGTTTCACCAAGTTGCAAAGTAGTGGATCTCATACCAATTAAGGCTTACTCACTCACCTTACCCTCATCTCACTCACATGGCCTTACCCCTCACATCCCCATTCCCCCATTTTGTAGCATATCCGACCCTCACCACGGCCTCTCATCCAAAAATATCAGCGCTTCCTTAGGCAATCCACAACCTCAACTCTCTGTGACATCCTCCCTCCTTGGTATTTTCTCTAACTTTTCTCATATTTGAGATTTCAGATTAGGAATATGGTTAAGTTCCACTGGATTTCCACTCTCTTTTACCTGCACTATATGTGTGTGATTAACAATGTCTAATTGAGTCCTGTGACTCTTGTCCTGCATTTAGGACCATTTGTATTTAGATGGTCTGTGGGGTTCAAAAGGGCATTTTAGTTCGTAGATTCTACAAAAATGTCATTGGCTTTAATTTGCCCCCTTCATTTAGAGCCATTTGTTGAGCTGGAGTACTGCCAAAATGGTTTTCTTTGCTCGGTCTTTGGTGTGGGGTAGACTATAGAGTCTTCACCTTTGAAATTTCAGGAAGTGGAGGTCTTCTTAGGTAAAGGTTTTGTATCTGAAAAAAAAATTGCTAGGAATCAATTGACCACTTTCTGCTATACTCAGGGTTCAACGAATAAGTTGAAACTAGGATTTGTTATTTGAGTTGTTAAACGAGTTAAAATGGTTTATGGCCTAGAACATAGTTAAAGAGGAAAAATCTTCAACCCTACACCCCTTTGCTTGGGAAAAATAAAGTGTTTAACTATGCTGAAATTAGTATGTTCATAGCATGTTTACCCCTTCTAACACGATTTGAAAGTTAATTAACATTTTTTTTTTGATTGCTCTGCAGTGGCACAACTGACGACAAAAATCAAGCATCTATCTTCAGTTTTACACAAAAAGGTCACTATGGAACCAATAATCTTCCGTTTTATGCTTTCATGTTCATATTTTAAAATTTTATTGTCATGCTAATAGTCCAAGTAATTAATGAGTAGTTCGACTCATTCTGTTTCTAGTGCATAATTTACGTGGTACAACTGTGACTTGTGGGGTTTAAGATAGTTTTGTGAAGTTTTAATAGTCCACAGTAATTAGAGATAAATTAATGGTTGGCATGTTGGGTGGATCAACGTAATGTAGCTTATCCTAGCTGCTACTCTGAAACGTTGACCTTGAAAACAAATGTTGACACTAGTTCTGTGCCAATTTCATGGTATGCCCTTGGATGTAATGGTATATTGCTGAAGTCGAAAACACAAAACCTGTTAACAAGGTCGTTGATTTTAGATGAGTTTTTTTGTTTTGTTTTCCCTGCTAAATTGAAACAAATATGATGCTGAATTGTGGATTATGTGATATATTCTGGATATAGGATGTTCATTTCAAAGGATCAAGGAAACGCCTGATGCTCGAGTCTTGGAACTTCTACAGTCCCGTTTCCAACATTCCAGATCTGTTGTGCCTGATATTAAAGAGTGGGAGAACAAAGTACGATTTTTGAATAACTCAACCTGGTTTAGCTTAGCATATGAATTCGTATTACAAGTTTGATTAGGCACCTGCTGATTTCATGGCATTGAAAACGTACCCTGGATGGATTTGTGGACAGAAACATGACGGACTACTTTTATTTATTATCTCTGTAATGCTGTTTTCTTTGAATTTGTTACTTCTTTAGAGAATTAGTTTTAGAAGATGTATTTGAATGCATGACGATTTGGTGTTCAAATAATTTAGTATTTGGAACTGTAAACCGGCAAGAACCAAATTGGAATCAGTGTAAACCGAACCATACGGTTCTAGTAATGAAATTCAGCGGAACCACACCGAACCGAACTGTTGATATTTTCTGGTTCCGGTTCCAGTTTAGGTATGTAACTGCACCGAACCGCACCGTGTCCACCCCTAGGTTTGGCATTTGGCTTTTAGCCTAAAGATTTGGGTTGGGTTTTTGTTGTGGGGGGAATAAGTGGGGAGATCTGGCAACTAGCCCAGGGTTGGGTTTGGTTTTGGAAATTACAAATTTGAACCACATTATTGTTAAATGAAGTTTAACCCACTCCCTCACCCCTTTAATGTAGATAATATCGTTTGTTCAAGAAAAAAAAAATTAAGCGTGGGCATAGGGTGATTCGATTGGGGCTCCAACTCGTTGGCCTGCCCAAAGCCTCGGGTTGATGTTAATTCAAACTATTGCCGCACATAAAAAATCAAGCAACCCAACCACCCAAACCATTCTCAGTCGGGTTGAGTTGGACGGGTCGAGACCCGTATTAGATGCAGTAATGTTCTGTGATAATATAACGGTCATTTTTCATTAGTTTCATAAACAACCGCAAAGTGGATGAGATGGGTTTAGAGACGGTAACAACAAACCTGTACGACTATTCCCTTTTTGCTCTTGAAGATTTCATATTTCATGCGCAACACATCATGAACCTGAACCTGAACTCGATGAAGCGAGGTTGATTTGTCGCCTCCGCGATACAGAAACAGAAAGGAGGCTTACGAGAGGCAGATCGCAGAGAGCGTAAGAACTAGCATTGCCTGTAATGAGATGTATGGACTGATGAAGAAGATGAGTGCAACGGCGCCACACTGCCACACCTTTAGCGGCGCAAACGCTCCTTCCTGCGCATGGTCCAGGAAAAACAACAGACTCGGATTCAGATTGTCAAGGCAAGTGCAAGGATAACAAAACTTATAAAGGAGTGATATTTTTCATACCGTATTGTGACTGAAGAATATTCCAATCAAAGCACTGAGCTGTGTGTTGAAAACTCCATCGCCGATGCCCAAGAGAGCTGACATGATAAGAAGGTTCATTGTGCCAAGTAGTCCACTTGACGGGCTGCGTGATCATTAAAAAGGTAAAATATGAACTAGAGATAACAAGGCATTCACTTCAGATTGGAGATTACAATTGCCATAAAAACTGCTAAGTAACCTGTAAAAAAGAAGCAGCCAGATGAATATAGCGGCCTGAACTAAAGTTCCGCCTGTGACGATAAGAGTGATGGACTTGAGACCCGAGGTAAGTCGACCAGCAGAGAGTGAACACTAACATAAGCGGCACCCAAACGTGTGATCACAAGTCTAGAAAAAACTTCTATCAAGGTTAAAGAACTACTCGTGTATATATACTTACTACTCATCAAAAGCCCCATAAACTGCCATTGCACCGCCCACACCAGACATACCGAGCATTGGTTTAACGATGTACTTAGTGAATTCAGCCCTGAAATTAAAATAATTGTGCAATTATTAACACGGGGCAAGAAAAAGAAAGATTAGAAAAGGAAAATAAGTTATTATTGTTTGGCTGCAGGACAGTATAGCTGCGATAATTGGTCAAGTGGTTACCATACAAATGCTTGTTGTAATCCTGTATATGCCATGAGGGGGATGATTAATAGCCTCCGTATATCAAACAAAGGAAGGATGAGTGACATTGACGAAGATGACAGAGTAGCAAGTAAGTTGAGAGACTCTACTTTGTCATCCCGTTTGCTTAAGAAGCACATCAGTATGGTTCCTAAGGTCATATTGCAGAGAAACACGGTGAACAACAAATTTATGTCGCCTGTATTTCCGTCCTGCAGTGATCAAAAGGGAAACAAAATCAATGCACATCGTATCCAAACAACCATGGATTCTAAACGCAAATTCAAACAAGCAATGTGTACAAAAGGATGGCAGTTGGCACTATCTTTTCTACTTTTTAGCAAGAAAAGTGGTAAAAGATTTCCAATGAACTGCAAAAGTTCATAGCAAAGATCATAAGCCAAAATGACAGGATAAATTCGATAGAAAATTGTAGCACAAATTCATAAGGAGGACCGAACAGAGTCACCTGTCGACAGGCAAACAATCCCTAAGTTACCAATAACTGTTCGTTCATGTAAGCCATTGTCTCGGGCATGACTATGCACTGCTGCAGTTAGATATGTTCCCTGATGGATCCACAATCAGTTCAGCTATTAAATTCCATCTTTTGTCACTGAACACTAAAGACTTGAAGTTGACGCAAATATGAGATCTCGTACCTGCTCGACCCATATTATTGAAGAGGCAAACCCAAGGTACAAAGAAACCGGAACAATTATGTACCTACAAAGAAATAGTTCAACGTTAAACCATGTGCAACAAAACTAGAGTAAAGACTTTCTTATACTTGGCTCCTCCGTGCAAACGAATCTCAGTTTGACATGTTTGCATAAACTTTTTACTTTCGTGATTTCAATGCGTTGCAAAGAATGTATGTCATATGTGTACTACTGTAATTTGCAGTTAAGGAGTCGTGTTCTATGCACATCAGCTGGGATTTTTTTTTTACTTTGGACTAAGAATTCAGTTGCTAGTTATTTAGTGGATTAGTAAAGTAGCTACCAAGTTGGTTTCAAATGTGCAGCTATGAACAACCAATAGCCAGTAGTCCCAAGAATCAAAGAGTTCTTTGAACCCAAACGTCGAACCACTGCCGACACCACCAAAGAGAAAAATGCGAATGATAAATACAAAATTCAAGCAATGTGGTACCCAAATTCTTCTCCTGATTGCCAAATCCAAAAGTTCCATAACCATCAGAATCAAGTTGATCAAAAACATAAAACATATCTAGTACTTCTAGCACTCATTCTTTATCCTTCTGTACTACTTTTGCGAGTGCTAAAAATTTCCATAATATTTGATTCGGAGTGCAGATGACTAAAAGAGCGAGTGTCAAACCCTTGAAAAATAGAGGAAATGGGAAAAAAAAAACATAAAAAAACCCAACTCACAGTGATGAGAGTGCTCTCTAGATTCTGAGTGGCACCAAAAGCAAGAAAGATGAGCAAGAAGGCAGAGCTGAGAATATGGACATCTCTGGCATGGTTCTATTGGATTCGAACCCGAGAATTATCGACAAGCAGTGGCCTCTCCAGATCATGAGAAGATTCCAGATCATGAAAAGAAGCTGCAGACTCCACAGCTGATTCTTCTTCTTCTTCAAGTTCCAATCCAACAGATATAGTGAGAGTTAGAGAATTCAACAACCGAAAGCAGGGTTTTTTTAGTAGTGATCAACTCAAAAGTCTGTTTGGTTGCTGAGAAAATGCAGGAAAGATTCTGGATGTAGTGCTTCTGGCACCCGAGAAAATTAATAATATTTAAGGACACCCCATGCAGTGAGTCACTGTTTAGAGAAAAGACATATCCTCTTATGATGATAATCTCTATGATTATGCTGACAAGTTAAATAGATTTATGTGCTACTGGTTGGCGGCAGCGGCTGAGGCAGATGTACACAATTTGATGTGCCACTTCATGCCACCACCTGTTAGAAACTGATATAAATATAAACTTGATGTATAACAAGTATCCCAGATTACAATCATGCAGTTTATATATGATACCTGGAGCAGTCATCCTTCTTTGATGAAATGCAATTCTTCTACTTGTTTAAGACCTTATGTTCAAAGGTGATAGAACCCTTAATGTCTGAACGATGCTTCACAAGTAGGGAATTGGATTATATATATACACAGATTTCATCTGATTTCCATCTATCGTGGAAATCAGTTACTGCAGTTGTTGGTGTTAACCCAAGTCAATCTGCCGTTTCATCCACAGCATGATTTGATGCTCCACATGCAGTGCACTGTGCTTTACAGATTGGAATATGGTTCCCACCTTAAGGATGTAATGATTATGCATAGTGGACAGCAAGGCCACTGCATGTGTATACTGACTGATGATTCATAGACAGCAAGGATGCAACTTTCAGTTGTTTTGTTTATTTGCATGCGTGTGTAAAGTATCTGTGAACAAAACTCTGCTGCAATTGCAGCAGATGATGATTAAAAGTAAGATAGATTGGATCCAAGTCTAATATCCAAGTTTACTAGTTGGCAGTTTTCACCAAGCAATGGATAAGCACTTGCTGCATGTTATCCATGCATCCTTACTTTTAGGAAGTAGTTTTACACGCTTACAACTCTTTAGTCAATTTGTAACATATTGGCAACTTAGATTTATATACTTATAATGTTAGTCAAGTCCAATTAGGTATCCAACATTCTCCCACATGGACACAGACTAAACATTATAATCAAAGTCATGCCTTTCACAACACTGATACCTCATGTGATCACATCAAGTTTCACGCATACTAACTTCCTTTCAACTACCATAATTAATTTAAATATTTGAACTCCAGAAAATCATGTGTTTATATACAACACAAGCACCCTGAAACCACAAATACTTAAAACTAATATGTAGAAAGAAACTTTAGACTTTTCAATGAATTTATATTCCTTCATTCATTCAAAACAGTCATTTCATGGATCAACTTTGGAAGATCCTGATGCATTCATCGAATTGCATCCCTCGAATTATTTATGTCCAATCATCAAGACACTAGAATAGACATATACATGCATACAGTCAGCAACTCAGACAACCAATAGGCTCAACAAGTGCATATGATTCAATAGGTCTTGATAGTGAACAACATAAATAACATTCGAAGACATATTTGAAATATACATGTGACTTACATCAAGTTTTTCTTACTCCCACACTTCAGCAGATTCTAGAGATTCAAGCACTCCCATCTTAGAGACATGATCCTTGAATACTCCTACTGCCAATGGCTTAGTCAAAGGGTCAGCTATCATTGAATTTGATTCAATATGCTCAATCGTGATTTCACTCTTTCTCATATGTTCTTTCACTGATAGATATTTGATGTCCATCAACCTTGTTGCCTCAGACTTCTTGTTATTCTTAGAGAAAAATACTGCAGCTTTGTTATCGCAGTATATTGTTAGTGGTCTCGAAATTGAATCAACAATAGCCATACAGCTGATTAAATTTCTTAACCACAAACCTCTCTTGGTAGCTTCAAAACATGCTATGAACTCGGCCTCCATAGTTGATGTGGCTAACGCCTTTTGTTTGGCACTTTTCCATGATACAGCTGCTCCTGCCAAGAAAAACAAGTAGCCACTCGTGGATCTCCTGTCATCCACACAACCTGCAAAGTCAGCATCTGTGTAGCCAACTAGTTCCAAGTTCTCTACTTTCTTGTAAACCAACATAAAGGATTTTGTCCTTTGCAAGTATCTTAACACTTTCTTGGCTGCAACCCAATGTTGTTCACCGGGGTTCGACTGATATCTTCCCAACACACTGATGGCAAATGCCAAATCAGGTCTAGTGCAGACCTGTGCATACATCAAGCTACCTACTAGAGACGCATAAGGCTTATTGACCATGCTTTGTCTCTCAATTTCATTCCTCAGACATTGAGACTTATTCAACCTGTCTCCCTTTCCCATTGGTACTTCTCCATTAGCACAAGTTTGCATATTGAATCTGTGCAACACTTTTTCAATGTACGACTTTTGTGAAAGTCCTAACAAACCTCGAGCCCTATCTCTTTTGATCTCTATACCAAGCACATATGATGCATTTCCCATATCCTTCATCTCAAAGGTCTTAGACAATAATCTCTTGGTTTCAAGCACAAGATTAAGATCATTGCTTGCCAAGAGAATATCATCCACATAAAGCACAAGCAAAATGAATCTTGATCCAATGACCTTGAGATAAATACAATCATCAATCTTATTCTCACAAAACCCAAAAGAAGTTACCTTTTCTTCAAATTTCAAGAACCATTGTCTCGAGGCTTGTTTTAGACCGTACAACGATTTGTTCAACTTACAAACCATGTTCTCCTCGCCTTCTTTAATGAAACCAACAGGTTGTTCCATATAAATATCTTCCTCCAAATCACCATTCAAGAAGGCTGCCTTTACATCCATCTGGTGCAGTTCAAGGTTGTAATGAGCCATAAGAGCCAACACAATCCGAAGTGAATCTTTAGTCGATACCAGAGAAAACGTTTCTGAGTAGTCTACTCCCTCAGTTTGTGTATAGCCCTTAGCCACCAGCCTGGCTTTGTGCCTTTCAATTCTTCCATTCGAATCCCTTTTAGTTTTAAACACCCATTTACACCCCACTACCTTGATATCATCTGGTGCATGAACTAAAGTCCAAACGTTGTTTGTTTGCATGGATTTCAGTTCATCACTCATTGCTTCCTGCCACAATTCAGATTGCAAACTACTCATAGCTTCTTGATAAGTAACAGGTTCATCTGATATGCCTTCATTTAGTTCTACTTCTTCAAGGTACACAAAGTAATCATTAGGTATTGCTGACCTCCTAACTCTTTGCGGCATCACCCTTCTTTGATTCACAGATACTTGCATTGGTTGACTAGTTGATGCATGCGATGGAGTTGAGGTTGCATTAACATTTGTAATGGATGAATCAACATTTGCAATGGGTATACTGCTTTGCAAATTGAAATCTTCAACTTGAAACTCCACCACAGATGGCTGTGAAACAATAAACTCCCCGTAGCTTTTGCCCTCACATATATCACCTTGCTCTTCAAATTCCAAAACTGTTGCTGCCTGAAAATTACTCGATGCTTCCGTTTCTTCAATAAACTTGGCAGCATTAGTTTCAAAAATTCTGTTTGGGAGATTTGACGCATAAAATCTATACCCTTTTGATTTATCAGGAAACCCCACGAAGTGACATGAAACTGTCCTTGAATCCAATTTCTTCTCAGTAGGGTTATACATCCTAACTTCCGCATTACAACCCCAAACATGCATGTGATTCAAACTTGGCTTTCTCCCTGCCCATAATTCAAAAGGAGTTTTGCAAACTGATTTGCTTGGAACTCTATTCAGTATGTAGTTCGACATTTTCACGGCTTCACCCTATAGAAACTGTGGAAGTGTTGAACAACTCATCATGCTTCTTACCATTTCAATTAGAGTTCTATTTCTCCGTTCAGCCACGCCATTTTGTTGTGGCGTGCCTGGGGTAGTGTACTGTGCTTGAATACCACACTCCTCCAAGTATAGAGCCAAAGGCCCCTTAGATTGACCTGCCTCAGTGTACCTGCCATAATATTCACCTCCCCTATCGGACCTTAGAATTTTAATGGACAACTCCAACTGTTTTTCTACTTCAGTTTTAAATAATTTGAAACAATTCAACACTGAAGATTTTTCTGAGATCAAATACAGGTATGAAAACCTTGAATAATCATCAATAAAAGTCACGAAATAAATGTTTCCACAGATTGTTTTAGTTGGAAAAGGTCCACAAACATCAGAGTGGATAATCTCTAATAGTTTTTGACTTCGAACTGAAGTCTTTTTCGTAGTTTTAGTCATCTTTCCCTTAAAACACTCAATGCAGTTTTCAAAATTTGAGAAATCCAAAGCAGGCAAAATTTTATCCTTAATCATGCGATCCATTCGTGCTTTGGATATGTGCCCTAATCTCCTATGCCAAAGCATGGAAGATTTTTCATTCAAAACAAGTCTTTTAGTTGATGTAAATGATTCAGTATTAAAACAAATACTTTCATTGCAAACCGAACAAAGCACTTGCCATAATTCATTAACTAGAAAACAGACTCCAAGTACAACTTTTGGATTATTTTTCATGTAAATCCTGACACTTTCATTGTCTCCATCGAAAGCAAAGCCAGTTTTTACAAGTTTCGAAACTGAAAGTAAATTCCTTCTAAGTGAAGGTACAAATAAAACATCAACTAAATCTAAAACAAAGCCACTAGACAACTTGAGCTTGAGGTCGCCTATTGCTTCCACAGCCACTTTATTCCCATTGCCAACATAGACTTGAAATTCTTCATTTCTTGTTGTTGAACCTCTTCTTGTGAAACCCTGCAACAAATTGGTGATATGAACCGAACAACCAGTGTCAAACCACCAAGAATTTGAAGGGACTTCAACAAGATTAGATTCAAAACACACAAAAATTTTGACTAAAATACCTTTCTTAGTTTTCAGATCTTTGAGTTTCTCACAATCCCTTTTCATGTGACCAGTTCGTTTGCAAAAATAGCACCTTATGTTGTCCATTATATCCTTATAATTCTCAGGTCCTTTGGAGGAGGATGCAGTTATGACAGCACTTATTATTGGAGGTCAGTTTAGGAGCCTTACCAGAATGAAAAAATGGTTTCTTCCTTTTGTCAGCATGCACAAAGTTTACTGCAGCACGATTGACATTGCGCCTAAGCCTGCATTCTTCTTGAGCAGCAATTGAAATCAGTTCATCCATGGACCATTTCTCTTTCTGAGTACTGTAAGTAACCTTCAACTGATCATAACACGAAGGCAGAGAAGTTAGTGCCATGTGGACCACAAAAGCTTCATCAACTGGAACGTCCAAGTCCTTCAATTTGGCTGCAGTATTCACCAACTTCAGAATATGCTCTCTAACACCCTTTCCTTCATCAAACTTCAGAGATGTAAGTGTTGTCATCTATTCTCCCATTTTAGCCTTCTCAGATTCCTTGAATTTTGCTCCGATGGCATCAAGAAAATCTCTCGCCTTATCACATCCAGTAACACCACCTCTAACAGTATCGCTCATGGTTCTTTTCATAACCATTAGTGACATCCTGTTAGCCTTCTCCCATTTCTCATGCTTGTGCCTTTCTTCAGCAGTTGAGGCATTTGTCAGTGCAGCAGGTTCATCCTCACGAAGTGCAAGATCGAGATCCATTAGTCCCAGCAAGATCTCTATATCTTGCTTCCATTTCTTGAAATTGCCACCACTTAATGGTTCAACAGATGAGAGACTGAGAGCAGACGAATTCGCTGGAGCAGTCATAGAAATGTTAGTTACAAATAAAAGTATGCAGTTACTGCTGCAAGTTTACATCGCACTTTTGAGTGAAAATCATAAACTGCCTTCCATATTGCATATATTGGCCATAATATTCCACAATCGCAATGATACATCAAGTCTTTGGACTAGACAATTGCAAACTTTTATAGGGAATGATTCATACAATTTATTAACCTTCATGCAATTTATATATATTTCCCTTTTGAGAAATATATGAACATGCTATGAATCTTTTAAGACCCCTTAATAGCCACGGAATACAATAACAATATTCACTTTGATGAATATCAGAAGTACATCAAGTACTGCACTACTCGAGAGATATATAAAATACATTTCAAATATATCATCATACATTTATCATAATAATAAAGCAGTAAAACGAATCTGGGACTTGTTATTTGGCTTTGATACCAAATGTTAGAAACTGATATAAATATAAACTTGATGTATAACAAGTATCCCAGATTACAATCATGCAGTTTATATATGATACCTGGAGCAGTCATCCTTCTTTGATGAAATGCAATTCTTCTACTTGTTTAAGACCTTATGTTCAAAGGTGATAGAACCCTTAATGTCTGAACGATGCTTCACAAGTAGGGAATTGGATTATATATATACACAGATTTCATCTGATTTCCATCTATCGTGGAAATCAGTTACTGCAGTTGTTGGTGTTAACCCAAGTCAATCTGCCGTTTCATCCACAGCATGATTTGATGCTCCACATGCAGTGCACTGTGCTTTACAGATTGGAATATGGTTCCCACCTTAAGGATGTAATGATTATGCATAGTGGACAGCAAGGCCACTGCATGTGTATACTGACTGATGATTCATAGACAGCAAGGATGCAACTTTCAGTTGTTTTGTTTATTTGCATGCGTGTGTAAAGTATCTGTGAACAAAACTCTGCTGCAATTGCAGCAGATGATGATTAAAAGTAAGATAGATTGGATCCAAGTCTAATATCCAAGTTTACTAGTTGGCAGTTTTCACAAAGCAATGGATAAGCACTTGCTGCATGTTATCCATGCATCCTTACTTTTAGGAAGTAGTTTTACACGCTTACAACTTTTTAGTCAGTTTGTAACATATTGGCAACTTAGATTTATATACTTATAATGTTAGTCAAGTCCAATTAGGTATCCAACACCACCCTCTCGTGATATACTTGTGACTACTCGACCAAGTTCCCACAACATGTGGGGTCTACATTTTTCTGGTGAATATCACGTAACTGCATGCATGCAGATAAAGACAGATTGGACCCTCGCAAATTGGAAGGATTCGGCGAAAATTCTGGAGGGTTCATGACGTGGATCGAGATATATGGCCGTTCATTTCTTAGCCAAACCATTTAACGATTAAGGATGTAACAACTATTGATTTTGGTTTACTCGAACGTGCGTGACCGTTTGATTCTTGGCTATAAAGATGAACTAAGGATTCAACAGCCAAGAATTCTGGTTATCATCACATGCATCAAGATTTATAACCATTTGATTCTTAGCTAAACATTCATTAATTAAGGATTCAACAGTAATATGATTATGATTTACCATATCACATGATAGTTCAAATCTTAGCTAAAGGGTAAGGATTTAGAGACTAATGATCTGATCCATATCACCGGTCTAGAATCATGTTCTATGCTCTGAGCTGATCCATTCTCGACAAACTCAAGTATATATTAGAAGTTGGAAGCAATATTCTTTCTATAATTAAATAATTAAAAACCCTCTGACTAATAAATAAACTTGCTAGGAAGAGTAAGATTTTAGGATATTAAAGTATGTGTCTTCATACAATTACATGGCTTGAAGGGTGTTCCAATTTGATAAGTTCTTGAAACTCTTTCTCCATCTCTTTTACTTCCCTCAGCAGACTGCTGATGCAAAACCCTAATCCACCCAAACAAACAGTTACTTGCCCTCTAAGCTTCTGATGATCCTCTATTAATCCAGTCATGGCGGCAATTTTTGAGGATAATTCATTGGAATTTTGAAGAAAAGAGTTTACAATGCTTTCAGTCTCTTCCTTCTCTGAATCCAAACCCCTAGAATCATTTTCCCTTGCTGATGTTCCAAACTCAATGTCATGTTTGTTATGAACTGCAACAGACTTCTTGGAAGCCAGTTCTTGAAGACAGTGCAGAGATTTCCCAAATTTTTTCTTGAAAATCTTCAAATCTTTCTCAAGGCCCTTCATGGGTTTTCGGAGTTCTTCCAAATCAAGGTCGAAGCACTGTAATATGAGTGATAGAGATTCTTTTATGTTGGACATGAAAAGCGAAAGATTCTCCATGTTTGATAAAGATCTCAGGAGCTTGCCATAACAGGCACCGTTGAAAGGGATGAACCAGAAATTAGGCTCCAGCTGAGCTTCTTCAATTGACTTCGCTAACTTTTTGACTTGGGATTTCAACTTGCTCTGTTTCTTTCTCAACTTTGGACTCATTGAAGCGATTTGGCTGTCGAAAAGAACTAAATCTTCGATGCATTCTTGAAGGGAACCCAATCCAAGTGAAAGTTTGAGTTTTGCCAGAGTTGCTGCTCTTGCAGGGGATGTGAGAATCTCTATGGTGACGAAACATATCAATCCAATGACAGCCCCTGTGATTCGAGCAATTGCAAAATCGATCGGAGGGCCATAATCTTTCCTGCCAAGTATTAGTAGTGCCCCTACAGCTGCTGATATTCCACCGGCTTGGCCATACATCCTGCTGTGCCTTAGAAAGCTTGTGAAAACTAACCAAGGTAGAAGAGATAAGAAACTCAAGTCCTCGACTTCCTTGAAGATGAAGCAACACAAGATCCCGTAGATTGATCCCATTGCCGTAGATTGTGCTCTAGCATTCGCTACAGTAAATGTTGCTTGTCTTCCCCTAACAAAGCTTATTGCATTTATTAGTCCTGCCCAACATGCTTCTCTCTCATTGAACAGCAAACCCAACAGCACAGCAAGGCCTAATGAAAGTGAGCACTTAACTGCAAAATATAGACTTGTTTTGCTTGGTTTAATGCACAAAATGTCACAGCTCCATTTGATTTGTGAACCGCCCGAGCTTTCAGTGTAAGAGCTCTCTCGCTTGCATTCTTCAATAGACTCGGTATTTTCTTGGAGGAGTTTCAGACAATCAACGAAAAAGAAAGCCAATAAATCTTCATGAAAAATGGTTTCAAGGGGCCAGAAGGCCTCTTTCAAAGATCTTTCCTTTTTCTTTCTTGTGTAGAAAGGTGCAAAGCGCTCGAGCTGCTCAAGCTGGTCATGTATTCGCCTTTTCAGGTTGTGTAAAGCGTCCGCTTGCAGTTTCTTCATCATGGCAACTGGAAAGGAAGGGCATGAAGTTGAAGCTATTGCAATCCCTCTCAAGGGTATTTCAACTTCCTGCAATTTTTCTCGAACATAGAAGCGACTAGGGTTGAGGATATTTCTGATTGTTGGTCTTTCCCACAGTAAGGCTTCCTGTCCAAAAGGAAACCACATTGGTTTAACTTAAAATCACAATGTCAGCAGAGAAAACCTGAGCAGAGGAACCAAACTCTTGTACAGAAGGTAGTTTTACCTGTTTATGTTCGATACTTCGGAGGAGCTTTTCTCCTGCTTCAGCCAAGGGTTTGGCCTGTAAAATAAAGTCAAGTGCAGCAGAGCTGTCTTGAGACAAGATTGCATCTAAATAGAAGTTGAACCTCTTCCTAGCGTTCTCGGCATATTTTTGGCACATTTGTCTCACCTGAAATGTTACAAGCATTCCCTTTAGGTTCATCGTGACATGTGATTTTGAGGTGTGACAAGAAAAAGAACAAGTTGAAGGTTATATCACTCAATTTGCATATTTATTCTACGCACACATCATATAACGATTTCAAATCTTATCAAAATTTCAGTAAAACTAATGTTGAAATCTCGAATTTGGACGGAGTAAGTTGCTACAAAAAGAAAGGAATTATGTGGTGGATGTGAAGTTGAACCGAAGGAATATGGAATAGACTGATTTTCAGGCATCAGTGACAAGAATTTAAGGACCTCTTCTTCCACTGACCCTTCTTTTTTTGGGTGTGTTTTCACTTTTTTTTCTTTTTTCTTTTAAAACTCGATCCTCTATAATATTATTTTTCCATTTTTGTTCCTAATTTTTAGTTCAGTTTATTCAAAATTTCTGTTAAATTTTGTACCTTTACCATTTTATAACCTCAAGAATGCCTTTTATAACCAAAACAAGAAAAGAAAAAACGAAAGAATGGACCACATGATTTGAATTATCGTGAAGTTTTTAAGAATCTGATATTGTGAACTACTCCAATCTACAACCAATGGGTTGCGAACTTCCATGCAAGAAGGTGGACGCACTGGCCTAACCAACATCTATGAATCCCGTACAAAATGATATGCAAACATATGGAAGACAAACAACACATGTTGTAAATGTATGTGTGTGTGTGTGTGTGTAGATGTATATATACCTCGTGGTAGGCAAGGTAAGGAGACAACACAGCTGCCAGAGATGGCTTTCGGTAGAAGAACAAGTTGGGAAACAACATAGCCCCAACAGATGCCGAAGCTCCAAGCACAGTACTCAAACACACCTGAATCGGGCGCATAAGTACCAACTCATCAGCTTCTGCACAATGAATGGCAGTGCCTACATACACAATCACAATCTGACCAAACGCAATCCGCTTAGACATCAAGTGAGTTGCTTCCGGCAGTGCCACAACAAAAGTGCACAGTGCCACTGCAAGGGCGGATACGAAATAACTGAAGTGTGCGGGTCCTATCAGCCGGAGGCTCAGGAGTGTAAGGATCAGGACCTGAATACAACCATAAAGCGCGTGCCAGAAGCCTCTCAGCGCCTCCCCAAGTGTCGCGTCTGAGAGGATGAGGATTGTGGTGAGTTAAGAGTATCCAGGGTAAGCTACTAAACGCCTGAGAGGCTGTGGACCGTAGAGAGTGGTGGTCTAGACTATGGTGCAGGCTAAGATGGTTTGAAATGCTGAGCGCAGCCTTAGGCACCACACGGCACAGGTCCAGCTCGTCCTGCTGGCCGGAACCATTGATGCCGGAGTGTTGTGAGTCTCCAAGTTCACATGTAAAACTGAATGAGATCATATGGTATCATATAGTCATGTGCTAGCATAGCAAAGCTAGATTCGACTTAAAACAAATTTGCCGGTGTATATTTGTTTGCTTTTAGCATGCAGATGCTAGTGAAATGGTAGTAGACAATTTTCATGGCTTTGGTAGAAACAAAGATTTTTTTTACATTTACTGAGATGTCAATGTGCAATGTCTCTACAAGTAAAGAATAAGTTCCTTTTATTTGTTTTTTTTTTTTTTTTGACTTATTTTTGGTTATGCTCTTTGGAGCTTCATTTTGATCTTATTTTGCTTTCTGTAAATCCAAAATTACCATTTTACTCCCTGAAAATGAAAATTCGTATCACTTTGACTTGTGGACTCTCTTCTCCATCAAACTTATAGGTTGCCTCTGGAAACATATGTAGGACCTAACATTTAATAAGACTATGTTACATGTAATAAATTTGATTATAAATCTCCATTATGTGTTTACATTCAACAATCAAAGAATATTAAGTTTAAAAGAAATTGAAGAGATGAAAAAGATTAAAAAAAAAAAAAAAAAAAGAAATTGATTAGCCTGTCGCTCCCAAATCAAACCCACATAAGAAATTAACAAATTTAAGGCAATGTGAAGCGAATTTGAGTTTTATATAAACAACTTTCAAGGTTCAGGGGGCAAAATAAGATCAAAATCCAGTTTCATGAGGCAAAGTTGAGCGAACTTTGAATTTCAGGGAGTAAAGTAACGACTTTGAGTTAAATAGAGCAAAGTGAGATTAAAATTGAATTTCAGGGGACATAGCTAAAATAAGCCTTATTTTTTGGGGGATTTTTGATCTAGGTCCAAAAGTATAGGTTATTTTTAGGATTTGGCCAGTTATCTAATTACATATTTTTGTATCAATTTGTCTTTTTAGATAAAAAATTTTAAATTCATTAACTTTTGTGATAAAGTTATATTATAAAGAAAAATGTAATACAATTAATCTATGTTATAGGTAGACTATGAACAAAAACCTATGGCATAGGTAGATAGACAATTAAAGCTAAATTACAATTCTATGGTTGGTGATTTAGTCAAAAGCCACTCTGGCTTACTTGGGAATCCTGGATTGTCAAGGGGAATTGAATCCCATCCGGATTCACTTTGTGAAGATTCTCGGGATCCCCATATCCTAATCATTCATCATGTATCATGCGGTCAGAAATCATTTGACTTTTTTTATTTAAAATTAAACACAAATAGTATCTCATGAAAACTGATCTCACGATATACGATGAACAGTTAGAATGTGGAGATTCCTAGGATCCCCACAAAATGGATCCAGGATCATCTTTCTAAGAGGAATTGGATCCCATCCGGATCCACTTTGTGGAGATCCTAAGGATCCCCACATCTTGTTAAGGATGATCTGCATAAAGTTGAGGTGGGGACGACTATGACAGTAATCCAAACTAATAACCAACTATTAGTTGGCAAAATGAAGCAATGATAATGCATTATTTGTTTGAGATATTGCCCCGGTGGCAGTATAGGTCCTTCCTTCGTATTGGGTTTACTGCTTACCCCTCATATTTTAGTTAAGATATGATTCTCATACACCCTTTTTTTGTTCTGCACAATTCTGTTATTTTTGTCTATTGATTCTCCTATAATTTATTCATATAAGACCATAAATAAACAAGAGTGTACACTATGCAAGAGAAAAAAAAATGTGCGAAAATCATTTTCCTTTTAATAATAATGACTAAATTTAATTGAATTGCTTGTAATACCTGCTAACAACTGTATACTGTAAAAAGAATAATAATAATAATACAAAAAAATATCTATACTAAGGGCTAAGGGGTGCGGATTCAAGCTAAGTCACACAATAAGTCGGCCATAATAATTTGTTACCGAACTCGCCAACTACATAAGTCAAACCCAAAACCTCACACTTACACACGTGAAGATGAAGACCAACTAAACTGACACTGCATTGTAACTTAAAGACAAAATGATAAACCTTCATATGTCATTAACATGACAAATGATATTATCTACACTAAGGGGAGGGGATGGGCTAGCAATAATGTGGTTCAAATTCGCCTTTGGCGAGAATCGAACCTCTCACTTACAAGTGAAGAAGAATACCACTAGACCGTAGTAGTGTAATACTAAGTAACTGTTTTAATGATTTTAAGTCACTTGTTTTTATATAGTTTTGATTCCTATCTGGAGAGAAATTGAAGCATTAAGAACATATACGGTTATCAATAGAAAGACCCAATTCGACCAAAGTACATACAAGAAATTGCAGAAAAAATACAGGAACAAGACCCAATTAGATATTGTAAGCCGTATAAAATAAGTGGGTCCAGATTAATTTATCCAGTTCTTATTTACTACAAACGGCGCTAAACACTGGATTCATACTAGATAGTACCATCCGGTGTCTAGAAAAGTCTGCCAAACAAGGCCTAAAGATTCCAAAAAGCACTTGCATTTTAATTAAAAATCTTGATGTGCTTCTAAGCAGAAATGTTTTTTAAGATAGCATTTCCAAACACTTGTAGAAAAACTAAGGGTTTAGTTCAAGAGTAATGTTAATCACTCGTCTTTGTGTTCGACTGGTACGTCCCTGATCAACAAAAAAGCCATTTGCACTGCAAACTGAATTCTGTCCTGACCAGATAAGATAATGGATCATCAAAGTGTCCACCAGATAAGGCAAATCTAAATGCTAAATATTTTGTGCGACTGAATGAGGTGCATAAGTACCAGATCAAAGAGAAATAACATAGTTAAAGAATACACCACGAGAGCACGAAATAAGTTCCAATGGAGAGATGGAGAGAGCGAGAGAGAGAGAGAGTCAAAATACGTTCCATCGTGGGTCGCCTGAGACTAAGAAGAGGAGGATCTGATTCTAAAATGAAGAAAATTTCTTCTTATACACTCATAAGTTCAAGACAGACTTGAATTTCCAGTAAGGTTCACTTTGAAATATGTTGTGCCAGAATCTGCGTGGCACAGCACGAGTGACAACTCAATACTCCCATCAAACATGTGCTACATTCGAAGAAGAACCTAAACCCGTTACACACAGCGGGGGTCACATTTTACACAAATATGAATGCATGACGTGAATTTGTGAGACTACAGAAAAACCTATAGCTCTATTCTTAATGTTTGATCACTTCTTTTGGGTCTTTCTCTATACACGTAAAGTCCAACTTGAATCAACATAAAGTGAGAAGTTGCAGTCGTATGCATTCGAATTAATATCATGATAAACATGTACTATTGTTTCCAAAAACTTAGTCCATACGCCAGCTATTTTTTCTATACTCTAGAATAATACACAAGCACCATCAGGGAGAACGGCTAATACATTTGAAAAAAGTTTGCAATACGTTTACATTATCTGCTACATCAGCTTAGAAGATAGAGTATCAAAAGAAGGATGGATTCATTTTCGGTGGTATAATATTACCGTAACTATGGAAGTACCTGAACTCTCCTTTTGTAGATGGGGAACAGTGCTGTAATGTATTGATTCCATGCTTCCTAGCTTTACGCATATCATCCTCCAAAATTCCTTCATCATGTTTAATACATCTATGTTGCATCTTCTGTTGGACCAGAAGCTGATACTTGAAAGTTGAAACTGATTCAGAATAAATCATCTTTGCCAATAAGATTTTCTGGGCTTTTCTCTATTCAAGATACCACCAAGGTTGGCCAATGCATCCTGATATTTGCGGATTTTGAGGAAACCGCTTATCATGGAAACTTCACTGTCTGAAAGCTTTGCTTTCTCCATGACCATATCAACAAGGTTAATTAAGGTATCCTCCATGGATAAAGCTTGGAGTCCTTCAGCCAGCATAGAAAATGATGAGAATTCTGGTAAATAACCTTTCTCCATCATCTCAACTGCAAAGTCAACTGCTTCTCCAATTGGTCCTCCACCATTACAAAGCCCGCGAAGGACAATCTTATACGTTATAGAATCAGGAGGATCACCTTTCTCCATCATCTCTCGGAAAAGCCTCATGGCTTCTGTTGTTCTCTTCCGTTTAAATAGCGATTGTAGTACGGGGTTATAAGCCTGGGGAGATGGGATCAACCCTTTCATCTGCAGACTTCTGAGGAGTCTGCTTGCAACCTGAACCCTACCTGCCCTACATAACCCCCCAATCAGTGTCCCGTATGTGACTATGTCTGGTTCACACCCATTTGAACTCATTGTCTGAACAATATCTGCCGCCTTCTTTATATCCCCAGCTCTACAGAAATACGTGAGCATGGAATTATAGGTGAACTTGTCGGGCTTCAAGCCTTCCATTATCATCTGGTCCATAAGCTGGGAAGCTTCCTCCACACGTTTACTCTGACAAAGGCCATCAATAAGGGTGTTGTAGGTCACTGAATTTCTTGAAATCCCCTGCAGTTCCATCTGATCAAAAATCTCTTCTGCGTCATCAATTCTTTTGTTTTTGCACAACCCATCAATGAGAGTATTGTATATAACCACATTACGTGCACAACCTCTCAACTCCATTTCTGTCAGCAGGCTCATTGCCTCCTTTAGCCTCCCTCTCGAACAGTGGCTATCAATCAACATACTGTAAGTAAACCCATCAGGCTGGCATCCTGACGCCTTCATCTCCTCAAATAGTTCCAAAGCAGCTTTATGATTACTGTTCAAGCAGAGACCTTGAATCAGAGAATTGACAGTACAAACATCAGGCAAAATTCCCTTGCTAGTAAGAACACGAGCAAGTTTGGTTGCCTCTTCAACCCGGTTCTCCTTACACAATGTGCTAATCAGAGTATTATATGTGACAGTATTTGGAGAACAGTCCCTCGAAACCATTTGATCAAGAAGTTCCACCGCCTCTTCAATTTCACCCAACTTACACAATCCGGAAATCAAGGAGTTATACGTGTAAATATCCAGTTCAAATCCCTCTTGAAGCATCACGTCCATGATCTCCAAAGCATGCGTAACATGCCCCACCCTGCACAAACCCTTCACCAACGTATTAAACGTAAACTGATCCGGAGAGAACCCCTCATCCACCATCTTTTCTATAAAACTGAACGCTTCATCGACCTGACCCTCTTTGCAAAACCCATTAACCAAAACATTAACAGTCACATTTGTACACGGGCACCCATGTTCTACCATCTGGTCCCTCATTCTCAATGCCCCTTTCATGTCACCTTCCTCAATGTACCCCTGCATTACTGTCGTGAACGTTTTCTCATCCGGCTTCAAACCATGGTTCGACATATCCTCCATCAACAAAAGGGCAGGCCTAATCTGATGAGCTCTACACAATGCCTTTATCAAAATGTTAAATGTCGAAACATCCGGCTTAATTCCTCTACCAAGCATGCCCGAATTCGCAGTTTCGACTAGCTTAAGTTTGTTCCCCTCAACAACAACATTCAACAAGAAATTGTAAAAATGAGTGTCGGGTTTGCACCCGAACTCGCCTTCCATCATTTCCACAACCCCAAGAATTTCATCATACAAATCAAAGGCTGCGTAGCTCTGAACAAAAATCAAGAAAGTACCTGAGCTAATAGGGCAGCCGACGTGCTTCATCTCGTTAAGGATGCTCCTCATCGACTCGAAAGACCCCACCTTTCCGAGCTTGCGGAGGACCTCCTCGTACACGGTGGAGTCGGGGGTGAAATTGGGCTGCTTGGAGGCCCAGTCGAAGAGGCGGAGCGCAGAGGACTCGTCGTTCTGGCGGCGGAGGGTATCGAGGAGCTGCTGCGGAGTGAAGTCCGGAGGGAGGTGGTGGTGGTGGTGGGTGGAGGTAGGGGTTGAATAGGAGAGGGAAGAATGGATGAGGAGCCGGTCGTGGCGGTGAGAGAGCGGGAAGGAAAGAGAAGTGAAGGGTTTTTGAGCGGAGGAGGGCGGCGGTGGCAGGGTTTGGGGTATGGTGTGGGTGGGAGACCATGGATAGCATTTGAGAGAGAAGGAGAACGCCATTGAAGCAATTCAACAAACGGATGGGGTGCTTTCAGGCCATGGCGGAGAAGAAAGGCTAAAAGCAGCTTTTAAATTGAGCTGAAAATTTGTTTGAACTACTGAAGTAGAGAAAGAGATTGACGGATAAGTTGCGGTTTGTATCCTGGTTATGGGATTTTCTTTCTTTCAGTGAAACGACGCCGTATGGCGAGTTAATACGTGTAGTTGACAGTTGACCATTCTTCTCTCTGTCTTTGCCTCGAATCCCAACTGTTCATTCCTCTTTCCTTGCTTCAAATATAGATCGAGAGCTTATTGCAGATTGCTTTTCAAAAAGCACTTTATTCCTTGGCATTTTTTAGGAGGCACTTATCAATAGTGTTTTGACAAAGAAGCATTCTTTCGTTTGACTATTCACACGGGAGTGCTTTGCACGATAAATAAGTGCATTTGATGGCGTTGGGCTGTGAGAATATGTGTCTCGCTGAAGGTGGGTCAAAATCGCTCGTGTTGGTGTCCCTAGAACTAGTTAAGATTGGAATTGACTCCAGCACGTCATGTATATTCCCGTCCCACAAAATAGGACGTATAAGACACAATAGATGGGATGATTTCTTCGCCCTTAAAACTCAAAAACCGTCACTTTATTTCCTTGTTTCTTTTAACTTCGTTAAACATCTTGTATGTGGCAACATGTGTCAGACAAACCACCCAATAAGACTGCCACATGTGTCACTAGGTCTAGGCCAACATCGACCAAAGTTGTATTTTACACCTGCAGCAGGGAAGTTATTTCCCTCGAACAGATAGGCATGTACATGAAAACCGAAAATAGGCACAGAATCACAACTCAACAACGGAAAATGGGGAGATCATCATCTCAAAACCACAACCAAATGATTCGTTGAAGCAGTCAACATTTTACTCGAGGGAGCGTGCGAGCCCAAGCGTTGCCGCAACCATAAGTAAAAGCATCTCTTACCAACTAGAAAAGATGAGAGAAGATCAAAAATACAATAAGATGCCAAGGTAGGTCATACAGAGGAGGCCAGTAAATTAGCAACAAGGAAAGGCCATAAAAGCATGCTCCTTTTATACTGCTCCAAAGTAAAATGACAAGGGTCATATACAACACTCGGAAGGCGGAAAGGTGCCGTCTAAACCCCGCAAACAGCTACATATTAGTTTGTTGACATACAGCTACCAAAGCAGCCACTCAACAAAGATAGGTTCTATCAAATAAACATATCATATGATATACCAGAAACCACAGACGCTTGTTTAAAATAAATAAGAAACAACGGCGAAACTTGGAAATTGATTCCATCATTTGCCAAGCCGCCAATTCCACAATGTATAAACATATCACGCAAGTAACAAAGGGTGCAGGGACGAACTGCCCACCAGATAGCCTATGATTCATAATCTAGCTGGCTCGGCTCTTAATGACATCGAGACCAATCTCAGTTGGATCAGTCGCTTGCAACTCAACCTGAATTCCATCGAGCTCTCTCTTGAATCTGTCTTTGGAGCTTGCGTAGATCATCTTGCTTCTCACCCTTGATGTATCAGGAGACCTTCATAGAAAGGAGAGGGAAACAAACAATTGAATTTAGAGAACGGATGATTAGATAACAGAGTACACACATGTTTGAAAATGATTAAAAAACCGGGCATTACCAGGCAATGAAGAATATCCGGCTTTTCTGGACACCTTCAGGTGTAAGAAAGTCAAAATCAAAAATAGCATAACGGCATTCATCAGCAGGAAGCTTCTCAGTGAACTGCTCATAGGTTTCTGCTGGTTCACCAACATGTTCCACCACAACTTGCTTTTGCTTCTCCTCAATCTTGAAAACTATGGAGCGGTAGGTCCGCTTTGCCTTAAGCTCCAAAAACTTCAGTTTGCAATCATCGTGCACAGCCATACCAGATGCTGCGTTGGCCTGTAAATTGCATGCAATTAACAAAGATCAAACGGCTACACTACAACTTTTCAAGAGAGAAATGAATATAGATTGAAAAGACGTTTTATCAAACAAAAATTTGACACAAGGAATCTCTACATGCAGTCCCAAGTTCTCAACCAATCCATCATGTCTTATTTCCAAGGAAACCGCATAACTCGGGTGAAATGCGCACAATTTTTCTTATCCTCAGAATGTCTTTTCATGATATGATCCAAAAATTATAATCTTTTGGTCCTCTACAATGCCTTAAGTACAGTAATAACACAACAAAAACAACCAATGTCAAACTTCTTTCCCTCGCGCCGTAGAGAAAACTGATACGAATTGCACCCTTATATGTTTAATTTTCATCCGAATCGTATCAAATTGACTCTCACACAACATGCACACACACTAATAGCCCAACAATACAAGATCGGCAAATTATACATAAACAAACATAAATACTAAGTACTCAACAATATTTTCATGGTATCTACCAAGTCCTCATTACTTTATTATATGTTTAAGAACAAATATACAAATTACACCTGACCAGACCGGCCCGGCCCAAATATCTGTTACAGATAGTAGATCCACAACATTCCCAATCAGCAAGAACCAGATCAAATTCCCGGCCCAAAACACATAGACTGCAAAATCCAATCTTAAAAAAAAAAACAATAAATCGCGATCAAAATTTCAACAAAAATACAGATCTGAAAGCACGAGATGTATAGATAAGAGTAGATGAGCTACAAATTGGAGCCAAATTAGTTTAAAACTATCAGATCGACACAGCGGAGGCAAGAAAATCGAATCAACAGAAACGATGATCGATTAACCAGCCGAGAAATCGCAATCGGACATAAATCCGTGATTTTACTTTATTTTCTCTAAATTTTCTCGGCAGCCATACAGAAATTACAGCCAGAAAACCCTATCCGAGCAAAACGGAGCTAAAAGAGTGCGAAAAACTCACCATTTTCGCTGCTGTTCGGTTCTCTGTTGGCGACGAAGGAGGAGGAGAAGATATAGGGAAAGGGGGTCTCCTCCGATGACGACTCGGCTATCTGTGTCTCGCACAAGAAATGTCCAAGGGCCCTTTATATTGGTGGCTCTCTGGATGCCAGAGGATTGACAACGTGGAACTGATCGTATGATAGATGAGCGGGTGATGGGCGGTTCGGCCAATGGCGTGCCGCCACGACTTGTACGGGTCTTTGTGTGTGGATGCGGGAGTGGCTTTGCTTCAGTCGGCTTCTCCAGACTCGGCTTATGAGATATGCACTAATTTCCTATTTTAAGACATGGTTATTACTAGACTTGGAAGAAATGGGTACAGTTGATGACGAGTTGGACACTAATTTATAGTGCGCGGATTACTTGTGACTTAAATCAAATTTGTTGATGTAAATATATTGATGTACTAAAAACTTAATCTATAATTTATTCCACATTTTAACAAATTTGTTGGTGTAAATATATATTGGTGTATTAAAAGAATAACTAAATGATATGAATGAGTATGTAGGTTTTCGTTATGATATACTTGAACATGAATGCATCACAGTAATATACGAGGTGTATATCTCGTACTCTGTGAGTCTTTCGGTCTCTATAATGGTAGACCATCATGATGAAGCTACTAACTGGTCACTTTTAAAGAAAAATAAACATCCCACTATAGTTGAACTTAAGAGCTCTCTCATACAAGTGGAGATGAATATTAATTAAACTGTAATGCTAAGTGGAAAACAAAGAAATTCTAGTGTCTGGCATCCGACCACCAATTTCCAACAGCCCAGACTCAAAAGCGCTATCATGGCCCACCCTCTAATTTTGAGGCCCACCACTACCCCATTTTCTGACCTATCGTCTCACTCTTTTGGTCTTATTTGGTGTTCGGACAGAAGACCTTCTCCTAAACCAGAGAAATTGTATTATTTTATTAATATAATAGTACTTAAACAATGTTTTAATGCACATTGGACCTTATATTATTGTGGTTAGTGTCTAATTTTTATTTTTTGGTTTAACAATGTTTTACTTTAAGAGGTGATGTTTTGGGTAAGTTACGCAAATTAGGTATCAAACTCAATAAAAATTTTCAATTATTATGATTATCCAAGTAAGTCCAACATGATACATCTCAGTTACCATGTAAAAACAATACCACTAAACTATAGGGTTGTAGACAAGTCGAGCCATACTGAATATTATATTTGTTTAATTGAAAAGCAAACCAAGTTAGGCTCGAGCAAGCTTAAAAACTTCAAGCTTGATACTAAACTCAAGTTGTTTAGGGTCATTTACTACGATAAGTCAGCCTGAATTGTAATTTGCAACTTATTAGTGGCACATATTTTAAAATTAATATATAAAAATAGACAATATAAGACCAAAATTTTCAAACATAGTAGTTTAAGCTAGCGCATAAATGTCTTTTTAAAAGCCTGTAATTTCTTCATAAACAAAGAAGAAGGGATCTCCATCTTTAAAAATTCAAATTGAAGATGGTGAATTTAAATAGAGAAAAAAATAAACAAAATTCTCGAAAAGCAAAATATCAAAGGTGACAATTTATTTCAATCAAACTTCTTGAATATAATGTACTTTTAGTTGTCTCGTAAAAAAATGAATTGTCACAAGCTCTGCGAATCAAATACACTGATGTTCAAAAACCGAAGCCAATACAAGTTTGAACTACTTCAAACCAACTATTATCAAAATATAAAATTGTCAGCCCTTACAAAGACAACAATAACTTAGACGAACATATATATCGTCGTCATAACGACATAACTTAAACCATACAAGTTCCTCTCTTCAAAAACGGCTCAGCTTGGCTGGGCTAGCTCGGCTTGTAATTAACATGTTAATAGGTATTTTGGGGGTTGACATAGTGTTAATAGATCATTACTGAATTAATAGTGCCATATGTTCAGATATTTTTCACAAGGAAAAAAAAGGGCTAAATTTTAAGGAATAGGATCCTCTCTATATTCTCTTTGTAAGAATCCAGATGATCAATTAATCGTGTTTATTTATCGTATATTATATGGTTAAAAATTATTTTAAAATTGAATATAAATAGTACTTAACGAAAACTAACCGTACGATATATGATAAACGGATATGATTAATCGATCCTCATATTCCCACAAAAAGAATTTGAAGAAGATCCTTGTCCAAATTTTAATAACCAAAATGACACAGGGCCGGGGGGTCCACACAGATTCTTTTTTCCGCATCGATACAACGCAACACCACCTTTTGATATGAACTTGAATTATTAATTTGCCACTACTTTTATCAAGAAAAAAAAATAAAGAAAAAGAAAAATCAGTAGCACATGAACGATCATGATCAACTAGTTTTGAAATCCCTTCTTCTTCTCATGAGGTACACAAACACAAGTGATCTCAATAATTGAACAACTAATAATACTAAAATACTTTTGAGTGTGTGCATCGAGTTTAGTTCCTCTTTTTTGTTTTTGCCTTTTTTTTTTTTTTTTTTGATATAAAATCCCTATTGATTTTCAGTTCTTCTTTGTTACCGAGCTCTGTTATATATAATTTTTATAAATAATGTTATTCACATATTTATTTTTTATACAATTCATTCAATTTTTTATAGTTCAATCTAAAGTATTGAAAAATATCAATATTCAAAAATTAACAAAGAATGTGTGAGAGATAAAAATAAGTGTTTGAATAACATTATCCAATGCAAAAAAGATTCAGTTTATTCACTAAGACATTTCGTCGAAACTTGGTGGGCTTATTGTTGTTAGCTAAATATGTTGTGCATATGTCAACAAATATCGACATATACCGAAGTAATCTAATGAGTGAGATTAAGAGAATCTGTCGAGTGCTATCAACGCAATCTGTCGAGATATATTAGCAGACATAACATCAAACATTAGGTGGACACCAAAAGGACTCGTACTAAACGTACAGAGATTTGTCATTAGTTACCAAGAAATTTTACAAAATAAAGACCCAAAAAAAGTAACACAAAGAAAAAATGCCTTGAAAACAAGAAAACAAGCAACACACCAACCATCTCACCAAAAGGCTAAGCAAAATATTAGGCCCACAAACAAACAGCAAAAATCGAACAAAACCAAACAATTGGCTTAAACGAGCTTTATGGGCCAAGTCTTAAAACAGAAAAAAAAAAAAAAAATTTCTTCTTCGCGCAGTCGTCTTCTCCAAGAAGACGTTGTCGCCGTAACTGCACTGGCCGTCATCTTCAAGTACGAGGGGTTCTCAGAAAATTTCAAAGCACGATTTAGGTTCTCCGAAGTCCTGAGACCTCCCAAATCCCTTTTTAGATCCTTCACTGGTGAGTCGTAGCCGAAGGTCTGTGTGGCTGCGGAAAGCAAACTATTTTCTCTCGTATTGACGGCAAATAGGATCAAGCATCGATAAATTTAACGGTAAGAAGTTACTAACTAAATTTGAGGACAAACTATAATACTTATACGTATTTAATATTGTAAGTATTATATTTTGTTATTGACCCCAAATTGATAGTTTGCATCACTAATTTCTTACAAATAAAAAAATTTGTCACAGGGAGAATTGACATATTACTCGAGAATACAACGATCTAACTTGGAGCGGAATAACATACAATTAAAACAAACAAGTATTACAAACTAAAACACTATTTTAATTTATAATGTGGGACAATATCTTGACAAAAAATAGCATGCCCTTGAACAAAACCGAACGAATGCACATACTATTCATGTTGGCCATGTAAATTGACCACACAAGTCAATTCTTATCCAAATTGGGACCATTTCGAGGCCAAGTCAAATAAGAATTCATCAAATATGCTCACCATAAGGAAGAAGAAGCATTGATGCAAATGGTGGATTGCCTGGTGCAATTGAAATTCTTCCATCTTCCTCTACTCACTTACAAAGCATTTTAGTAATTTTAATTCGGTGATATATTTATACTAAAAGATGGGGGATTCAGATTAAGCATTACAATGGACCAGTCAATATAAATTGGTATTAAGTTTGAATCTATATGAGTTAAGGCTAAGATTTTTTACTTATAACGGTAGAATAATATTATTAAATTGTAGTACTAAGTACAAAGTATTTTAGTAATTTTAAATGTATTGTGTTGCAATTATTACGCCTGACTTTTTGTATTAGAATATACCTAGGAGGATCCTCTTTATGACGATTCTGAGGATTCTTAAATCCTGTCCGTTCATTGTATATCGTGCAATCAGTTTTTGTCATGTATTATTCATATTTAATTTAAAATAAAAGTATTTAAAACAATTTCTAGTCGCACGAGATATACGATAGACAAACACGATTTAAGGATTCTCAAAATCCTTACAAAGAGGATCCGGAGAGAATCCTCCTTCAGAATATACAGTCTCGTTTTCCTACATCACACGGTATAGGAAAACTCTTGGTCTAGGACCGTTGGATTAGATATTTTGAAGCTTATATTAAGTATCATATTTTCCTACACCCATGCATTATCTTATTTTGGTTCGTTTATAGCAAATAAGTATTATCCGGCTAAGTATTTCATTAAGTAGTTCTTACTTGTATGTTACAAAGAATGAGAATTGGAAGGACTAGGGATGAGAAGGATTGGATATGGAATAAACAACTTCCTTCATGTTAATGGGATATCTTAAATTTTCATATGGATAATGTTATTCATACATTTATTTTTATTACCCATGCATTCTTGTTAATTTTTTGTCATTGATTTTCTTCAATTCATTCGATCTGAATGTTAAAAATTTTAAAAAAGTGTGTGAAAAGTAAAAATAAGTATGTTTATAGCACTACCTTTTTCATATATCCTATATCAAAATCTATGTAGGACCCACTTATTTATTCATTCATTTGATTTTAGCAGACAAAGGATATGAAATCAATGGGAATGTACACCTTTTCCTTATAAATTGGTTCTTGAAAAAATAGGATCTAATTACAATATTAATAACATATAAAATTCATAAATTAGAATGCAAGTAAATACACAATTTAAAGCATGCACATTATTGGTCGGGTCAGATGTTAGATATTCTATCATTAAGACAAGTTTACGCCCCACTACGATGCTCATGATTAATTGGCGCTTA